AAAGCAGAAATAGGGATTTCAATACCACGTTGTTCCCAAACACTTATCTTTCACATTGCCCCTGGCAGGTATAGAGTATTCACTTATTTTCATTGGGAGTTGGTCTCCCCTTGCCTATTCTTCACTAGCTCCTAATCATAACATACTGTGCCACAGTGTTTTCTCCACGGGGCTATATACTGGTCTTACCAGTTCTGAACATTTCTTTTGAACCTCAACTCCTAGCCTGTTTCTGACCCACCCTCAGACTTGTTCTGAAGGGTCTCAGGCCTCACCTATTCATAGGTCACCAGGTTAATCTTCCAGCCTTCATCAGCCTGGACATCCCATCCTCAGCCTTGTGCTGAAGGGATATAGGCTGACACTCCTTGGCAGAGGGGCCGCTTTTGATTCTGTCCAGCCTTCATCCAGCCTGGACATCCCACCCTCAGCCTTGTGCTGAAGGGATATAGGCTGACACTCCTTGGCAGGGGGGCCGCTTTTGGTTCTGTCCAGCCTTTGCTACCTGGCTATCCCACCCTCAGACTTGCGCTGAAGGGATTCAGGGAACAGTCAAGGATAGTGCTTACCACGGATGCCAGCCTTTTCGGCTGGGGGGCTCACCTCCAGTCTCAAATTGCCCAGGGGAGATGGTCCAAAGAGGATCTATCACACAATATAAATTGGCTGGAACTGAGGGCAATTCATCTGGTGTTGTGTCACTTCAGACACGAGGTGAGAGGCCAGCACGTTCTTGTCCTCACGGACAACATTGCGGCCAAAGCACATGTGAACCGTCAGGGGGGCACCAGATTGAGCTCTCTGATGGCAGAGGCCAGACTGCTCTGCTCTTGGGCAGAGGCCAACCTGTCATCGATAAAGGCGGATCCCATCTCGGGGGAGGTCAACCAGCAGGCAGACACTCTCAGCAGAGTGACTGTGGATCATTCAGAGTGGCGACTGGATCCAGACCTGTTCTCAGACATATCTCACAGGGTAGGACACCCAATCCTAGACTTGTTCGCCTCGGCGAACAACTCCCAATTTCCAAGGTTTTTCTCCCGTTTTCAGTCTCCAAGGGTGGAGGGAGTGGACGCCCTGCGCATTCCGTGGCCCCGGGGTCTTTCCCTCCGCTTCCCATACTTCTGGCTGTCATCCGCAAGATTTTGCGAGAGAGGGCGAAGGTGGTTCTCATAGCCCCCCATTGGCCGAGGCGCCCTTGGTTCGCCGACCTTATGAGCCTATCAGTAGCCACTCCGTGGCAGATACCCCCAGACCGGATAGTACTCACTCGGGGCGCTTCGCCATCCCGATCCTCAATGGTTACAATTAACCGTATGGCGTTTGAGCGGAGACGTTTGACTGAGGAGGATTATCCTCCGAGGGTCATTGATATCATCCAGGCTTCTAGGCGACCCTCAACGAATAGAGTTTACGACTCTACTTGGAGGAGGTTACATCTTGGATGTCTAGTCATCATGTTCAGTTGTCTTCTCTCACTGTTCCTCAGGTTCTACAGTTTTTGCTTGATGGAATGGATAAAGGGCTGTCTCCCAGTACTCTCAGGAGACAGGTGGCGGCCTTGGCTACGGTTCTTTCCTGCAACGACGCTTCCTCCCTTGCGCACCATCCGATGATCCGTTCTTTCCTTAAGGGAGCAGTTAATATCAAGCCCCCAACGGTTCATTGGTATCCTTCCTGGGATTTGTCAAAGGTTTTACAGGCCCTTATCTGGTCAACTTTTGAACCTCTTCGCTCATGTGATCTCAATCTCTTATCCATGAAAGTGGCCTTTCTGGTGGCAGTGACCTCTGCCAGGCGCATTTTCGAATTGGCCGCTCTTTCGGTGAGGGAGGATCTTTGCTTATTTTGCCCTGATTGTGTAATTTTACGTTTGGATCCCACATTTGTTCCTAAGGTGAATTCCTTGTTTCACCGGTCACAGGAAGTGGTGTTACCAAGTTTTTGTCCTCGTCCATCTAGTGACTTGGACCACAAATGGCACACTTTGGATGTTCTCAGAGCACTTCGCATTTATATTAAGAGGACATCTTCTTTCCGTAGGTCTGAGGCCCTCTTCTTGTCATTCGCTCCGACCTCAATGGGTCTCAAGATCTTTTCTACCACCATCGCCAGATGGATAAAGGCTTGTATTGCTAGAGCATATCTATCACAATCATTGGCCGTGCCGTCACGTATCACAGCTCACTCTACTCGTAGCGCGGCCACTTCTGCTGCCTGGGCTACTCAGGCGCCTATCAGTGACATCTGTCGGGCGGCGACCTGGTCGGCCCCTTCGCCATTTATCCGTCATTATAAGATTGATAGTTTTGCTTCTGCTGATGCTGCCTTTGGCCGTCGAGTATTACAGAGGGTAGTATCATCTCCTGCATCACATGCCCCATCTGTTAACCCTCCCTAGGGACAGGCAAGCTTTGGTATGTCCCAATCATGTGGATTATCCATCCCTCATGCTGGAGAAGGGGCGTTGGTCTTACCTGAACACCTTTTCTCAGTATGATGATGGATAATCCACCCCCGCCCCTTTTTCTTTTCATGGGTTCATGGGCATGGTGACAGGAGTCTGGAGACCAACATGCCTGACTTTGTCTGTTGCTTCGCCTGTGTCGGAACTGGGCATGTGCGACCAGACAAGAGGCGTGGCTATCTCAGACTTAGTCTTATTGGGTACAAGGGACTTCAGGAAACCCAATCATGTGGATTATCCATCATCATGCTGAGAAAAGGTGTTCAGGTAAGACCAACGCCCCTTCTGTGCCATGGCAGAGCAGAAGAGAAAGATGGTCCTCTACTTTTGGAAAACAAAAACAAAACCAGAGAAAAAAAAATTTCTTCTCAGGAAGAACTTGGGTTAGGGGTGGGCACACTGGCACCCTCTAGATTATTTGAACTGCAGTTTCCATAATTCCTCAAAGCTACAAATCAAAGCAGATGAAGGCAACTTGGTTTCTAGTAGCTGTTCACAACCAAGAAAGCTAGATTCTCACAGTATAATCTAAGCAAAAAAGAAAAATGGGTGTTAAGTCATGGGAATTTTGACAACTGTTTATGTTTATTTTAGGACCCTCTCTATTTCTAAGTTTCTTAGGATGGCAGGATTTCATGATTCTCTTTTCAAATGTTGATGTAAATGGGAAGGTGACTGCCAATTTTCCTGATAAAGGAAGAATGTGTAGATGTTCCAAATTTGTAATATTTTATAGACTACCATTCTATTTCCAGGTATTATAAATTTTCTTCCAGTCACTTGTAGAGATGTTTCTGTTTCCCAGTCAAAGATAAACATATCCTGAGAATAACTTTTGTGCAATAAATATATAAAAATAAAAACAGTAAATTTATTTGTAATTTGCTGCTGATAGTTTTATTGTCCCTACAGTGTCACCAATTAAGAATTTTTTACTCATCTTTTTATTTTCCCCAATATTGGGCATCAAGTAAGATTGACTTTATATGCATAAGACCACTTATTGAATAGTTGGTTTCTGTAGATGCATGCAACTTCTTGCTATTTTGTATACCTATGTCATCTCTGTATATTAAAATTCTCTTTGTTCTGCTTAATATTAGATGTCATCACATATATCTGCCATATCTGATTAATCATTGTATTAGCCATATCACTAATTTTATTTCCTGACTATTTCTTTAACTCAATTATTTTTTAATTTTGTTTACAGACTAAGGTTTCTGCTGTGAAAGAGTTCCAACATAGAACGACAACATTTTGGTGCCGACTTGTAGGCTCTGAAGATACGACTGATCCTAGCATTATCAGTCCCTATACTTCTCGTGTTTTGAAACCTTATATCAGGTATAGATGCACTATGTGGGAAGACATTTTTTCCTTCTGGGCTCCTTTATATTCTTTGATCTTGGTAAATATTGATAATTAAGGAAATAACACTGGTCAGCTATAGCATTCCTGTTGCTTTTCCTCATTGCTTCTCCCTAAAGAATATAAAGGATAAGGAAGAAGTAAAAGGTGGCTTTCAGGTCAGGGGGGTAGAGTTTGCTCCTGCATATGGACAAGAAAAGGGAAAGTGGAGTTTCCTTCTTATGCTAAGATTATGGTGCTAATCAAGCACTCACCTTTTACCCCAAACCCATCAAATAGCAACATATGCTAAACACTTTAAGATAATTTAATATTATGTGGAAAAATGGAACAGCCACATATACCTTACTTGCTGAAGGAAGAGCTGGTGAGTTTATGGGAGATGAAATACTTGGATTTGACAAACACACCTTGTGACTTCAAAGTCATAGAATCATAGGGCTGGAAAGTTTCTTGGAGATCTTCTAGCCCAAGGCAGGAAACCACCTGCATCCCAGATAAATGGCTGTCCAATCTTTTCTTGAAGACCTGCAGCAATGTTGTTGCTCTCACAACTCCAGGAGGCAAGCTATTCCATTGATTAATTATTCTTACTGTCAAGAAATTTTTCCTTTGTTCCAGTTTGGATCTCTCTTTAACAAGCTTCCACCCATCGCTTCTTGACCTGCTTTCAGGTGCTTTGGAGAATAAGTCAACTCCTTTTCCCTGTGAAACCCCTCAAGTACCAGAATATAGCTATCATGTCATCCCTATCATGTCATTCTCTTGTTTGGCTAGACATATCTAGTTCCCTTAAGAATTCATCATATGTTTTAGTCTCTATATCCCTTATCGTCTGTTTTTCTTCTAGGGTCTCAACGTCTTTTTTGTATAGTGGTGAGCAGAACTAGATGCAATATTCCAAGTGTGGCTTCACTAGTGTAGTATAGAGTGGCACTAGTGGCACTTCTTGTTATCTTGATGTTATCCCTCTGTTGATGCAGCCTAGGACTGCACTGACTTTTTTTTTTGCAACTTCAGCACACCACTAGCTCATTTTAAGTGATGGTCCACTAGGACACAAAGATTCCTTTCATGGTTACTACTCTGTTGAGCTAGGTACTGCCTATTCTATACCTGTGCATTTAGTTTTTCCTGCCTAAGTGCAGGATCTTACTTTACTCACAATTAAACTGTATTTCATTTTGTTAGATAGGGCCCAATGCTCAAGTCTGTTAAGATCCTTCTGATAATTCATATCTTCCAAGTTGTTATTCCCCCTAGTTTGTTGTAGTCTGCAAATTTGATGAGTTCTCCTTTGTTCCATCATCTATATCATTTATGAAGATGTTGAACAGCATTGGTCCAAGACAAAATCTTGAGGGAGCTTATTGTATGCTTCCCTCCATGTAAATGTAATTCCATTAAGGTCTACACACTAAGTGCAGTTGATCAGCCAATTGCAAATCCATCTAGTAGTGGTATTCTCTATCACATATTGTTCTAACACACCAAGAAATAGGCTGTGGTCTACTTTGTCAAATGTACTACTGATGTCCAAGTATACTATATCCACAGCATTTCCTTGATCCACTAATTTAGCCAGTTTATCAAAGAAGGGAATAAGGTTTGTCTGGCATGATCTATTTTTAACAAACTCATGCTGGCTTCCAGAGATTGCTTTGTTCATTTTTAGGTGCTCACAAACCTGCTTGAGTATCTTTTCTAGGCTTTCCCCAGATATTGTTATTGCTAACTGATTAGCAAAAAGTTCATCTATTTTCTCTGCTTGGTTAAGTGACCTGTAGTACATACCTTTAGTAATTCATTTTTTTCCCCTCTCATATTCACTCAAATGCATTTAAGAAAACTTTCATCCATGGTGTTCTGTAATTCTGTAGAGGTATAGTGATTCCTTACATACAACACAACACTTCTTTTGGGGGGCATGTTTCTTTTGAACTATTTATATCCTTCTAGCAGTGTGTTCCAGTTGTGGGGCTCATCCCAACAATTTTCAGTAATAGCAACAATATCATACCTGCCTTCATGTACTAGGATTTTAAGTTCTCTCTGTTTGTTACCAAACTCTGAGCATTAGTGTATAGAATCTAAGCTCATTATGATTGACCTTGTATTTGCTTCCTACCTTTCCTTTTTATACCTAGGTTCCCTTCCTACTTTTCACTCCCTTTCTCATTGTCTGATTCATTGTCTTGTGGATTATGCTTGGGATTTGGTCTTAAAGATTGGTCTCCCTCACCTTTCAATCCTAGTTTAAAGCTCTTTGGGTGAGCCTGGCCAGTTGTTTTCCAAACACATTCTTCCTGGTCCTTCTGAGGTGTAGCCCATCTCTTGCTAGAAATACTTCTTCTAGGCAATGTCAAAAAATCCAAAATTCTCTTGGTGGCACCATCCCTTGAGCCAGTGGTTTACTTCTAGAATCCTCTGTTCCCTCACTAGATGTTGACCTTTTGTTGGAAATACACATGAGACCACTGATTGTGCTTCCAGATGCTTTGTTTTTCTACCTAGTGGCTCATAGTCCCTTGGAATTGTTTTCAGGCTCTTAGTTGTATTATTCGTATCAACATGAAAGAGGAGAAAGTGATGATAATCTGTGGGCTTCATTATTTTAGTAAGTCTCTTTGTTACATCTTTAATCTTTGCATTTGGGAAACAACACATCTCTCTAGAGAAATCCTATTAAAATTATCTTATTAAAAAATAGAGGGTCAGCGATACTGGACTTAATTCTCACTAACAGAGATGAAAGAGGGGGTTAAAGTTAGGGAACTTTGGAGGACAGTGACCATGTAACTTTGGAATTCAACATTATGCAGACAACAAGCAATAGAACAAAGTTAAAATAATGTTTTAGATTATAAGAGAACTGATTTCAACAACTTAGAGCTTTGGAAGGTTTTCCTGGATGAAAATCTTTAAGGAGAAAACAAATCAAAAAGCTTGGAAAACTGAAAAATGAGATTATAAAAGCCCAGTCTGGCTCAATATCGTAGAGAAAGAAAAACAAAAAATCCCAGAAAATAACAGCATGGTTGCACAAAGAACACTCAAATTGTAAAATAAAAACGACAAGTATAAAAAGTAGAAAGAGGGACACATAACTAAAGCAGAATATAGGTAGTCCTCAACTTATGACCACAATTGAGCCCAAAATGTATGTTGCTAAGTGAGAAAATTATTGAGTTTTGCCCCATTTTACAACCTTTCTTGCCACATTTGTCAAGTGAATCACTGCAGTTGTTAAATTAGTCACGCGATTGTTAAGTGAATTTGGTTTCCCCATTGATTTTGCTCATCAGAAGGTCGCAAAAGGGGATCGCATGACCCAGGGACACTGCAACCATCATAAATGTGAGTCAGTTGTCAAGCATCCCAATGTAAATCACATGATCATGGGGATGCTGCAACAGTCAAAAGTGAAAAATGTTCATAAGTCACTTTTTTCAATGCTGTTGTAACTTTGAATGGTCACTAACTGAACTGTTGTAAGTCGAGGACTACCTGTATTAGCATATAGCTGGAATCTGCAAAGATGAAGTCAGGAAAGCTAAGTCTCACAATGAACAAAGACTTGCAACAATTGTCAAAAACAATAATTTTTCTTTCAAATGTAAAAAAAAAAAAGTCAAGGAAAACAAGTTTCTGATAACCCTAGCTGACAACTTTGTCACGCAAAAGATAGAGGAGGGAACTAGAGGGTCAGCCATGTTGGACTTAATTGTTACTAACAGAGATGAAATGATAGAGGGGGTTGAAGTTCCAGGAACTTTGGGGGAGAGTGACTATGTCATACTGGAATTCAGCATAATGTAATCAAAGTCAAACTACTGTCTTAGACTTTTAGATTATTGAAGTAGGTCTCTTAGAGAGTTTAGGAAGGATTTCACAGATAGAAATCCTAAAAAGGAAAAAAACTCAAGATGCTGGGAAAATCGGAAAAATTATAAAAGTTCAATTTAACACAATACCACAGAGAAATAAAAACAAGAGACCACAGATGAACCCAGCAGGTTTACATAATAAAGAAATCTCTGACAAACTGGGAGAGAAAAAAGGACAAGTATAAAAAATGGAAAGCGAGACATATAACTAAAACAGAATACGAGCAAATAACTCAAATCTGCAAGGACAAAGTCAGGAAAGCTAAGGCTCAGAATGAACTAAAAGTTGGAATAAATGCCAAAAATAATTTTAAAAGTTTATTTCAACATGTAAAAGACAAAAAAAAGTCAAGGAAACAGTTGTTCCACTAATGGAGAAGATGGCAAGGGGGTGACAGGCAGAAGGGAGAAAGCAGAATTGTTAACTTCATTCTTTGCAGCTACACAAAGGAAAAAAATAGTCCAACCTATCAAAACCAGTACCATAAAGGACAGAATAGTAACACAAATCAAAATAGGCAAGAAAATGCTAAGAGAACACCTGTCTATCCTAGCTGAGTTCAAATCACCAGGATCAGATGGATTAAATCCCAGAAATCTGAAGGTACTAGTAGATGTGATTTCAGAACCATTGAACTATGTTTTTCAAAGATCCTGGAGCACCAGGGAAATACCAGAGGACTGAAAAAGAGCTGATGTGGGTCCCATTTTCAAAAAAGGAAGAAAAAAACCCCAGATCCTGGAAACTCCAGATCGGTCAGCATGACATCAATACCTGGGAAGTTCCTGGAAAAAATAAGCAACAGATCTGTAAACGCGTAAAAGTCAAAGAAGCCAAAATAGGGTTTGTCAAAAGCAGATCATGCCAGATAAACTGTATTGCATTCTTTAACAAAATGACTAAGTTAGTAGATCAGTGAAATGCTGAGGACATAGTATTACTTGGACTTCAGAAAGGCATTTATCTAGTCTACAAATTGATGACTGTTCCTGTGAATAGCGAGTCATCTATCATCGACACACATTAATTTTTTGCTCTCTCATGGGGTTAGTGTTGAAATAACATTAATGTGGATAATGTTGAAATAAAGTGAGCACTAGAACTCCCAGAAAGCTATTGTCCTTGAAATTCTGATTTTTGAGAATTCAGGATAGTGGTTCAGATCAAAATATTCACATTTTTCATAGCAAAAAAAAACCAACAATGTTCTCAGCACTTCTCAATGGAGATGGTTGGAAAGTACTATTGTGAGCCTGCTTAGGGTAAAGTATTTGTGTTTACTTTTGGATTTTTCCTATTCATACATTTCTTAGTTGAAATGAGTTGGCGATGGGCATAAGTTTCATTGTGTGTTTGTGCGTTTGTGTATATGCATGTATGTATACATATTAAATAATCAAAAGTTACATTAGCAATATTTCATTAATTTAATTTTAGAGTTTATTCCTACCAATATACCTACAGAAGAGGAAGTTAAAGAGGAACATGAAAGCTCTCTTCTAGTAGTTATCACAGAAAAAACTGTGTGGATTTATTTTTTATAACTCCTGAAGTTAGTATGGAAACCAGTGGTGGACACTTTACAGAGGGAAGTTCAAAGTTGAAATAACACAGAATCTCCTTACTGTGAAAACTGTTAAGCAGTGAAACAGCCTGGATCATGAGGGTTCCATTGCTGAAAATTTTCAAACAAGGTTTGGACAGCCATTTGTCTAGAGTAGGATAAATATTCCTGTCCTGAGAAGGGGATTGGTCCAAAAGACCTCCAATATCCCTTTTGAAACATATTTCTGTGAAATCAGGTTTGATCTACTTTGAATGTTATATTTAACTCAGTTTTTTCAATTGTTTTCTCTAGACGTGATTATGAGAATAGGCCCCCAAAACTTCAGTTGCTGATGGAAATACGAGCTCATTATCATAAGAACGATCCAAGCTGGACTGCTGAACCAGAAGCCCCAATTGATTATTGCTATGTGCGCCCCAATCACATCCCGACCATTAATTCATTGTGCCACGAGTTCTTCTGGCCAGGTAGGATTTTACTAGATCAGGGCTGGCCAATCTTTCCTGATCTAAATGTTTGCGCCTGATTGACTGAATCACCTGGTGGTGGGCTGAGGTCTTCCACTACTGAGCTAGCAAATTAAAAGGTTTTAGCAGATGTAGGGGATGGATTAAGAATAGAAATTGGAATTTTTGCCTTATAACAATCTTGTGCTTCCATTCCTTTTTTATTTCTCTTTTTTTAAAAAAATCTGAAAATCTCATTGCTAAATTCTAGGCTATATGCCACTGAATATTGGTAGTTTGATTTTGTCCTATTAGGGGAGAGATTTAAAAGACAAGAACAGATACATTTTGTATTCTCACGGCTTATTGCATCTATTTTCACACTGTAAAAATCATACTTCCAAAATGTTGGGGAGAGAGTTGCCATTGAATTTCACGGGAACAACTTTGTGTGCTTTAACAGATGCTAAGGGTTACATGCAGTGCTAATTTATCACACTAAGTCCAAAAATGTCAGTGAAATCCAGTCAAGTTCAGTTCTTTATTTGCCTAATACAGAGTTCCCCAACCTTTCCGGCTTTGCGGACTGGCGGCGGTGGTGGTGGTTTCCACACAAGCAGCTGGCAAGCGCACGTGCACTCACAGCACCATTAGTGCAAGCAATGGGCATCACTTCTGCGGCCCCATTGCAAACAGTTCACAGCCTGGGGGTTGAGGATCCCTGGCCTAATAGACAGAATCTCATCAGACTAAAGCTATAATCTTCTAACCTAATAGATTGACCCTGAGAGATACTAGGGTATGGCTACCCTGAACCTTTTTCTCCCCCCCCCATCCAGTTTAGGATTTACAGTATCTTATTTGGGGCCTGGAATGCGTTGCTTTCTCTTTGGGAAGTTACAGTGCTATTGCTGGAGATTCCCTGCCCCATTTCTTCAGCTGCACATTCCAACACAGAATTGAAAAATGTATCAAAATTATTGGCATTCCTATAGGCATAATTGAATAAAAAGTAGCCATGCTACCTTCCGTGTTACTAGATGATTAATCTCTTATCTAACCATCTCCACATAAAAAGGGTCTCCTTTTTTCACCCCGTCTCCCAGAATAAAAGCGACGGATTAAGCTTTCTTGGGGGACAATAGAGAGACTATAAAATTAATTTGGACACAATAGAAAGAAAAAAGTTTGGGGAGTCATAGTTCTTTTGGAGAGTATAGGAGCAAAACTTAAAGGAAAAAAAAACTTTTTGGGTTGGAAAATTACAAAACGGATACCTAATGACATCTTGTGGTGAAAAAAAGAACTACACCCAGCTCTATATTTTGTCTGGAGTGAGGGAACTTGGCCTGAAGCCCAAATATAGATAACAGACTAAACCCTTTGATGTTTCTGAACTTTATAACCTTGTAGATTGCAGCTGGGAAAAGAGAAAAACTTTTTGGGCTGTCTTTTCTGCAGGATGGATTACAACTAAAACTACAAACTATTTTCTGCCCTATGTATAACACAGGCAGAATTAAATTATTGTCTCTCCTTGGAATTGATCCCTCTGATTCTAATGTTAGTAATTTGGTTTTATATTGTCTAGGGGATGGGTCCTCCTATATTACTTCTCAGGTTTCTAAATTTCTTTTAAGAGCTGTAACTACCAGAGGAGAACGTTGTAATTCCCTTTAGCCAAGGCTTCTGGTGTTTAATTGTTTGTGATATATTTTTCTTGTGTTTTCTTTTGTTGCACTTGCATTTTGGTCTGTGACTGCAAAATAATTATTACAAACTATTTTGAAGCCATCTTCCTTCCTCGGATTACAAATATTGTTTGACCTGTAATTTATAAATTATTTAGAGACAGACTCAATGGCAAGGAACTATCTACAGCAAGACATTTTGGATTATAATTTTGGCAGATTGGCAAATTTGGATTTTGGGACAATTGGTCAGAGCTGGAGTCAGAAGATAGAAGTGGATTATAAACTTTTCCCTCTCCTCATTTTTTCTTTTTTTTCCTCCCCCCCCCCTTCCCTCCTCTCTTTTTCTGAGGAGCCTATTGGATTATAAAGTTTTAGTCTTAGAACTACTTAAGGACAGTGGAAGCTTAACTGTTGGTGATTTTCTTTGGAGAAGGTCCTATGGACTATTAATTTTGAATAGTAGGACCTTGTGGATTACAAATTTTGACTGAGCAATAATCTTGGATTTTAGACAACTGCTCTGGAAGTGAACCTCACAAACAGAATTGGATTACAAATTTTTTCTTTTTCTTCTTTGTTCTCCCTTCTTTTTTAGGGAATTTATTGGATTATAGAGATTATAGACAAGAACTATAAGAGTTATTTAAGACAAATTTAAATGATATATTGTGGTATTGAATACAAGATTAATGGTTTGGTATAAGGCGGACATCTGGGAAAAGTATTAGAGTTGATAAAAAGTTTGGGGGTGAAATTAAAAATGAGTGTTCCGAATTTAGCTAAAACTGGCAAGAAAACACCCTCAGCCCCATCCTCCACCTCTGCAAGCTTTCTATATCAGAGATCAATCAAATCAATGCTTCAACAAGAAAAATCCAACTTTCAGAAGGAGATACAAGCAATCCAAGAGGCAATCTCCTCCCACAAAGAAAATACGAGAAAAAACATGAGGAGACAAAAGATAACTTTCATAAAATGAATCAAGAAATTCATAACAAACTCTCAACTAGAAAGCTTCCAACAGATGGTTACAAAGAAAATTCAGAAAATAGAAGACAAGTCAGTAGAGACTGATCAGAAGATGGAAGAAATAAAAGATGCAAATCAGAAGCTGATGCAGGCAAATAAAAAATGGAAGATTCAATGGCAGTTTTGGAAATGGAAAAGGCATCTTATTTTTTAAGATTTCATAATGTAATGGTGGACAAAGATGAGGATCTTGCAGATTTGATGACAGAGCTATTGGCTGAAGCACTGGAAATCGTAAAACAGGAAATGGAAGAAGATATTTCGAGTCAATTCAAGCTATGCAAGGAGAAATAAAGTCCCTAGAGAAATACATGTTAGATTCGTAAAAAGATCTACAAGAGATGAGATATTGAGAAGAGCGAGAAATGATCCCCTGCGTTATAAAGAAAAGGGAATTGTAGTGCTGAAGCAGATTCCAGGAGGATAAGAGATTCAAGAAGAGAATACCAATTCCTGACCAGAAAATTAATTGAAAAAGGAGTGAACTTCAGATGGCTGATTCCGGAAGGGATTTTAATTAATTGAGACATGAAAAGATACAGATTGGACACTGCACTCAAGGCAATGGAATTTTATGAGAGATACAAAACTTTTTTGGAAGGGGAAAGTCCGGAATTTCATGCAGAGAGAGAAGCAAAAAAACAGGAAGAGATAGCAATAGAAGGAGCAGCCAAACCAAGGGAAGAAGAAGAAACAGAAAACACAAACATAGAAGAAGGGATAAAAGCAAGAGAACAAAGACAGGTAAGAACAACTAGGAGAATAAAACCTAAATATAACTGAAGAAGATGGAGAAGGAAAATGGGATTCTTTCAATGAATATAAATAGATTGAATTCCCCTGCAAAAACGAAAACATTTTTTATAGGACTATGAAAATTAAAAATGGATATAGTTTGTCTCCAAGAAACACATATTAAAAGACAACACTACAAACTGTTGGAACAATTGAAAATCGGGAAACTTCACTTCACACTAGCACAACAAAAGATAGCTTTATATATAAAAGAGACAATGAACCCTAAACAAATCCATGCAGATGAAGAGGGAAGAATATTAATGTTGGAAATAATGATAAATCAAAAACAGATACTGATGGTAGCTATATATGCACCTAATAACAAACAAGAATTTTATCAAAAATTACACAAAAAATAGTGGAATTGGAATATCAAAACATTTGTTTAATGGGAGACTTTAATGCAATAGTAGATGGAAAGCTGGACTACAGAAATAGCAAAACGGGGGGAAAAAGAAAGGAATACACAACCTAAGATTTTCTTTAAAATGGCAGAAGAAATCTGTATACAGGATATATGGAGAGAAAAGAACCCCAAAAAACCACAATATACATTTTACTCAAACAGGCACAAATCATGGTCTATGATATGATATGGATATCCCCTGAATTAAGCACGATTATACAAGAGATTGAGATAGAAACCAATATATGGGCAGACCATAAGCCGATAAAGATGACTTGGAGAGGAACTAAGAAAAAACTAAGATGGTCTCTGAATCAATCTTTACTGAAAGAGAAAGAATTTATACAAATAGCAACAAAGGAAATGGAATTTTTCTTTAAAATAAACAAAAAAGAAGAGACGTCGCATCAAAATGTGTGGGATACAGCGAAAGCATGCTTTAGAGGTTGGCTATAACTTACATGGTGAAAAAGAATAAAGAAAAAATGCAACAACAAATGAAGTTAAAGGAGGAATTTATAAAATTGGAATTGGAACTACAAAGAGATCCACAAAAAAAAAAACTTTTAAAAAGTAAATGGAAATAATAAAACACAAATTAAACCTAGCAGAGGCTGAAAAAATGGCCCAACAAATTAAAAGGGCAAAACAAAACATTTTTGAAAATGCTAATAAAACGGGTAGGTGGTTAGCATACAAATTGAAAAAAGAAAGAGAAAAAAAATTGATAAACAAACTGCAAGATTCAAAAGGCGATTTACAATTCCAAAACAACATAATCAAAAAAATAATCAGACTTTTACGAGGCACTTTACACATAGAAGAAATTTTGCAAGAAAAAATAAAGCAATACATAAAAAAAGCTGACTTACCAAAATTCTCAGAGAATATCCAAAATATGCTAAATGAAAAAATATCAATGATGGAGGAAACGGAGGCCATAAAAAGGTAAAAAAATGATAAGACTCCGGGTCCAGATGGGCTGCCTGCAGAATTTTATAAATACCTACAAGATACATTAAGCCCATTAGTGAAAGAACTATGTAACAAGGTACTTTTAGAGGCTAAAATACGAAATACTTGGACAGAAGCCA